GCTCAGAATCAACTGATTACAGCCCATCAGCAGGAAATGGACTTAATAAACATGTTTATCTTCACCTACTTCCTGTTTCAGCCTGAACTCTTACCACAGTCAATGTGTGGCTTCTGTTTCTTTCATGTCACAGTGGATTGTGGGTAATTCCATCTGAAGGTTACCACCATAATCGACCATGTGTGAGACTCAGGTTTTGGTAGCTGCCCACTTACACTTTAATTAGATGTTTTACTTTATTAGTATTTAACTTTTTTATTTCTTCACACCTGTGATGCAAACAGAGGAGGCGAGGAAGACGCAGGAGGGGACAGAAGCTGAGGTAACAGGGCTTTAATCCAATTAAACATTCGTACTTCTGACCCCGCCCTATTTTAAAGTCGCATCAGTGATACACGCCGCAGCTGCATCATCTGAAGATGTGCTGTGACTGCTGCTTATGCTTATACAGATGTACAAACTGCTCAGCAACTTTTACAGATGCACGGTGGAGAGTATCCTGACAAACCTCATCACAGTGTGGTACGGGAATACCATCACTCGGGATAGACAGGCCCTCCAGTGTGTCATTAAAACGGCAAAATTCATCTAGTCCCACCACTGCAGGACATTTCCAACAGCCGGGGCAGAAAAAGGGCCCACAGTATCATTAAAGACTGCACCCATCCACAGCACACACTGTTCACACTCCTACTATCTGCCAGAAGCTACAGGAGTGTGAAAGCAAGAACAACCAGACTAAAAACAGTTTCAGGCTACTGAATCACTGACTAACTGTTGAACTGTGATCATCTGCAACAATGACCTCAATAATTTGACCTATAAATGTGCAATTTTGAACATTTATATACAATATAATACAACTACATACAATTTAAACAATTTTAATATTTGCATAATCTGATTATGTTAACACTGTGACAGTGTTGCATAACTACTTGCACTTCTAAATAAGTGCAAGTAATAAAGCGAGTGTACATAGCACTCGCTTTATTCTATTATTTTTTATGCTTAGAGTTTTTTTTATGTTTTTTTTTACTTAGTTGTTTATTTAGTTGTGTTAAAGCAACACAAACTCGCAAAGTAAGAATTTCATTGCAGCATAACATTTGTGTTTTGCGGTGTATATGACAAGCTTCTTGAATCTTGAATATATACAGGTCAATGACATGTATCCATGTATAAAAGTGACTGTAATTACTAAACATTTCATGAAATAGATTCTTGAATTAAAACTGAACTTCAATCATGTCTTGGTTGATTTAAAATTTGCTGTGGAAAATTAAATTTTATTTATATAGTGCCAAATCACAACAAAAGTTGCCTCAATAATACAGAAAAAACACCAACAATCAGATGACCTGCTATGAGCAGCACTTTGGTGACAGTGGGGAAAAAAACTCCCTTTTAACAGGAAGAAACCTCCAGCAGAACCAGACTCAGGGAGGCTGGGGGTGAGGGGAAGGAGACGGGACAAAAAACACAC